TTGTCTTGTTTTTACAGGCGTGCGCTTTAAAACACTGCATCTTCGTTAGTAATAGAGATAATAGAGTGAATAAAAAAACAAGATGTTCAGAAAAGATTGGGCTACCGTGTGATTCCAGTTAACACTATCTGCTGTAGCAGTTGCACCCCACAGGGTATTACAAATTTCGAGAAACAAAAGTTTTTCTCATTCTTGCAACCCGTATATGCTCAAATTAAAACCTAAATGAAAATTTCTATCGCAGGATTATTACCGAAGAATCAACCTTTCGATCAAAGAAACAATCATCAAAATCGAATGTGCGGTTCGCGAGAAAGCCAGCTTTGAAGTTTTGGCTAATTTATAGTGGCCGGTTTTTTTTGCCGGTCAGTTTATATTTATACATTTAATATACCACTACTTTTAGTTAGAAATAGAACTTATCAATCAAAATAGTACATTCTTGTATCGTTTACCAAGTATGTATATTGTTTCTAGGTCCTCTGATTAATTTGAAAGATTACAAGATTATATTTATTGTGTTTAATACTTTAAAATCTTATTAAATGAAATTAGGATGCTATTAGGACGCCACTGGATAAAGTCTGACCAATTCGTACACGCCACTGTAGCTAGGACCAAGGTCTATTTTGTTTGAAAACAAATGCTCTTGCGTTGGCTTCAAACCGGTATACGGGCGAACATAGGCGATGCGGCTTCTATACATACAATTTCTTTGGTAAAAATACAGGGTGTCTCAGCGATATATCGATATATGTGAGCATTTTTCAAAAAGCCCTAATTATTTCTCAAACTATTAATGTTAGGCATAGCACATATGGGATATAAAAGATGTAGAATGAGACGCCGAAGACGACTAAGTAATAAAATATGGGGGGTGCCATTAAAAAAAATGAAGTTATGGTACTTCCAAATTTTGAAAAGTTAACGTGCCATAGTAAAGTGACCAAACGTTCTAGACAGCCGTTCTCGGCACCAAAACATACTCCATCATGTTGTTTAAGCATATTCTGAATCCTAAATTGATATCCCAAAAATCGAGTGTTCTCTGATTTTTTGAACAAATGTCTGATGGAATCTAGAAAAATTCGAATAACTCGAGAACGGCCGAATCAAATTGCAAAAAGTAAACTTATTTATTAACCCTGAAAACAGACAAATCCAAATTTGTAAAAATATACAGGGTGTTCCATTTAATAAAATAAAGTAGGTGGCGACTTCCGGTATAACCGGAAGTGCAAGAAATTGAAAATATTTTAGTCGAAGAGATCGTAATTGATAATACTTAAGTCTGAATTCACAAATTTTTATTTTCGCCAGAACCCCAGAAACGTCTCGCTGAAACACCCTGTATACAGGGTGTTCCATTGAAAAAAATTAAGTAGGTGGCGCCTTCCCGTATAACCGAAAGTACTAGAAATCTGAAAATATTTTAGTTAAAGAGAACGCAATTGAAAATACTTAAGTCTAAATTCCCAAATTTTTATTTTAGCTCCAGAAACGTCTAATCACCGATCTCGCGGAGACACCTGTATAGTTTCACCCAAAAATCATGTTCAATAAACTTACATTCTAAATTAAGTAATTCTTGAACAGTTGTAGGTGCCCATTTAGTTTGTAAAATTTGTAATCCATCGACGAAAAAGTCCAAAGAATGTAATGGTGAAGTGAGTTTTTCCCGTTTGAGTACACCAGGCCAAAACTTCAAAAGTTGATTGGTCGTTTGTTGAATTAAAACGTGATTTTCACCTTCATAGGTACAATTAGCATCGTTATCGTTTCTAACTTCACTAATACCGGAAGCTTTAAGATAACCGTGTCCGGCGCAAGCTTCGCGACATTCTTGAATAGCATCGCGAGTTGTCCATGCGAAAACGGGTTTAGAAGCTGAAGATAAAGCGTGTAGTTCCAATACTAACATAGGATCGGGTTTTTGACCAGTAAAAGAGCCCATAGTTTGTTCAACCATTTGTACAAATAACAATTCAGACATGATTTTAGCACAATAAGTTGTTGCTAAATAAGGGAGTAATCTGTGTTGGTGTAATTGATATTCAATGACTGGTAATTCTTCGCCGTTTTCAGGTCCAAATTGTTTTCTAACCGCACCATATCTAATCGCAATTGTTAATACCTTCATTAAATATACTGCAGTAATGTGTGTAATTGTGATTCTTCCTGTGGATAACCCACCCAAAGTTCCGCCATGTCTCTTATTTTTATCTTTAATCGGGGTTACATATTTCCCATCATCTGTTACGTCCCCATTTTTATTTAAAAGATTATCTTTAGGAATGCGATACTTGTGGAACATCAAAAAGCCATTATCAATTGAATTTAAGCCAGCTTTTTCGCCCATATCACCAATTGTAATTCCTGGATACGGTTCAAGACTTCTGGGGTTTCTTAATGGAACGATGAAACAATGTAAACCTTGACTAACACCATCCGGGGTGATTAATTGCGCAAAAACGGTTCCGTGAGTTGCAACTTGGCCCAAACCCCCAGCCCAACATTTCGCCGCTTCAAAATCGGGGGAATCTAATACAAATTCTTTCGTTTTTGGATCATAAGTTGCTGTTGTTCTCATTCCACGTGCGTTTGTACCATGTCCAATTTCAGTTAAACAGAAACAACCAAAAATCTATTGAAAAATAAATAAAAAAAAGTTCTTGTAAAAATTTTTGAAGAAAATAATCTAGAGTTTGATTTTGTACTTTTAAACTGGTTTTTATTTTATATAGAATTTAAGTTTAACCAGTTTCAGCCCTTGGCCATCTTCAGAAACTCTACAAATAGATTAACATCTCTTATCTTAATATTTCTTTTTGTTTTGTTAAAAAAGTTCACATATCAAAGTCGAAATAAGATTATTAGTTACTAATTTACAAAATTAAAGTTAGTGTTACAAGTTTACAGGTTAAAATTTAAGCACACTCTTTTTTAACAATATTAAGAAACTTGGGAAAAATTTAAGAATTATCAAGTGGCTTAAAAATCGACGATTTTTTTTAATCAATGTGAAATGACCCAAAAAACACGTTAAAAATAAAAAGAAAGTGCGGAAAAGTGACTAACACTAGATTAACTTCAGTTATAAAACTTCTATTATATGATAACTAACTTCAGGTTTAAAATGTCAACCTAATTTTGACATATTTGTAATCTTCATTAAAAATCCTTTAAAATGAGTACAAACACGACATATTTATCTTCAATATTAATGAAGTTATGGTCAACTTCCGGTTAAGATGTCAATTTTGACATATTTGTAATCGTCGTGAAAAATCCTTTAAAATGAGTCCAAACATGATACGTTTAATTCCAATATTACTCGAGATATAAGCAACTTCCGGTTTGAAATGTCAATGTCATTTTGACATATTCTTAATTTTTATAAAATGTCTTAATATTTGTCACAAAAACAAAATATAATAAAGAAAATCAAAAATTAAGGTTGGTATTAATATTTAAAAATTAAATTGCTATTTTCATTGTTGCTAACTTCGCGTTTAATGTTTTTTATTGTAACTTTTTTGTTTTTTGAGATAAGTGCATCATCTTTAGACTCATTTTAAAGGTTTTTTAATGAAGATGACAAATATGTCAAAATTGACGTTGACGTTTCAAACCGGAAGTGATTGTATTTCCATTAATATTAAAGTTAAATATGTCGAGTTTGGACTCATTTTAAAGGAATTTTTATAAAGTTAACAAATATGCCAAAATTAATAGTTGAAAGATCGAACTTTTTTGTTTTTGAGATAAATGCGTCATGTTTGGACTCACTTTAAAGGTTATTTTATGAAGATTACGAATATAATAATAAAATTAAAGTTGACATTAACAACTGAAAATTTTTTTCACTACTAAACTGAATGTTTCTAGTTCTGGTTCTAGTTTTAGTTCAATAAAAATATACAACATAGTAATATACTATGCTAACTAGCGCTTAACTAGCACTTGAAATCGACGATTTTTTTTAATCAATGTGAAATGACCCAAAAAACACGTTAAAAATAAAAAGAAAGTGCGGAAAAGTGACTAACACTAGATTAACTTCAGTTATAAAACTTCTATTATATGATAACTAACTTCAAGTTTAAAATGCCAACCTCAATTTTGACATATTTGTAATCTTCATTAAAAATCCTTTAAAATGAGTACAAACACGACATATTTATCTTCAATATTAATGAAGTTATGGTCAACTTCCGGTTAAGAATGTCAACGTCAATTTTGACATATTTGTAATCGTCGTGAAAAATCCTTTAAAATGAGTCCAAACATGATACGTTTAATTCCAATATTACTCGAGATATAAGCAACTTCCGGTTTGAAATGTCAATGTCATTTTGACATATTCTTAATTTTTATAAAATGTCTTAATATTTGTCACAAAAACAAAAATATAATAAAAAAAAAATAAAAAATTAAGGTTGGTATTAATATTTAAAAATTAAATTGCCATCTTCATTGTTGCTAACTTAGGATTTAATGTTTTTTATTCTAACTTTTTTGTCTTTTTAGATAAGTGTGTCATCTTTGGAGTCATTTTAAAGGTTTTTTAATGAAGATGACAAATATGTCAAAATTGACGTTTCAAACCGGAAGTGATTGTATTTCCATTAATATTAAAGTTAAATGTGTCGAGTTTGGACTTATTTGAAAGGATTTTTTATGAAGTTGACAAATATATCAAAATTAAAAGTTGAAAGTTCGAACGAATACAATAATAAAATTAAAGTTGACATATAAAAGTCTACATTACTATCTTGTATAAAAATAGCACTTGAAATCGTATAACGTGATTGGCGCATAGCTTTATCTTTTAAAACAAATAGTATTTTAGGTCTTTCAGTATTCTGCATCTTTTTTAAGATAAGTTACACCTTTACCTACCAGACAGCATGAAAATCTCTAAAAACAATAAAATGTGGCTTAGTCAAGTGATGTATATAACGAGGTCCAATTATTGACATCTATAATTAGCTTTGCCTTGGCAAGATAATAACAACCCAAGATGACATGCACAAATCTTATCTTAAACTTACACAACTTACATCAGAGATAACATTATGTTTTTAAATATCAAAAACAAAAGGATATAAAAGCAATTATTTTAAAAATGTTATTTCTTTAACTATTTTATATTTACCTTTGTATTCATAACATCAACAACATAATCAATATGTTTGGCTGTACCTAAACCAAGAATCGTGCTGGGAAACAACCCATAATTAATTTGCATTTTCACAGTTGTCCCAGGATCTACATTAAACAAAATGTTCATTACAGCAATATTCTTTAAAATATTGCTATGTCTTTCTGGGATTTTTTCAATGTTATTCAACGTGAACATTCTACGAATTCCAATTCTTCTTACTTCATCTAAATGAGGTGTTGTCGGGGTTGGGTGAAGAATGGGATGTTCGGCGAGTTCGTTATATAATTCATCCTTTAATATTAAATTTGAAAATAATGTTAGAACTTTATAAGAAGCAAATTAGATTAATCTTACCATAAATTCCACAACTTCTTCTGTATCTAAGAAAATTCTCATTTTCTTCCAGTCGAAAGATGCAATTTTCCTGTAACGATCCAAGGGACCGCTTGGAAAATCGCGGAGAAGCGAAATATTACCCACAACCATTTTCAAGTATAGCCTGCGATCAGAGTTGTAGCTTTACTGCGATCTGAGAGTGATTTGCAATAAATTTAAAGTGAAACTGTTGAACTTTGTAACAGATAAGAAGTCCCCCATACATTTTATTTTATTGAGTTAAAACATGTATTTAGAACGCAAAATTGTGTTAAACTTCTTCTTTTATCATTATGTGTTTAAATTAATTAATTAGATACTTAAAAAGTGCACATAAATGTTAATAACCAAAAAGAATTTACACTTGAATTAATATACTTCTTTAAATATAGATTAATATTTTGACTTCAACATCAAATATCGTTAGAGAAGGATAACATTAATTATTACCGTTAAAACCAAAAAGAGATAGATATAATCCATATTATTTTGTGACATATGAAAGTTGTTGTAGATCAGATAGGGCTTATCCATGAATATGAAATAACAAAACGTCAATAAGTTTATCTCTGACATACGAAAACATTACGCGCATAAAAACGCGGTTATGACCGATTTAATAAGTAAATGATTCAGCGAAATTACATTTTCTTAATTAACACATAAATTATTTTATTTTAGCCGTATATTCAAATAATTTTTTCAAATAAAATTTAAAATTTCATATTTCCCGCTTTTTTAACCTTCATTTCTGTGGCAAATGTCAATTATGTCAATTACCTGTTTAGAGGTTATATGAAATGGAATTTGATACAACTTTTATGGAAAACATCAATTTTATAAAAAACCTTAATTAAGAAACGTTTATTTTCTATAAAACTAATAAAAATATGTAGTTTTGATGATAAAATTTGAATTATAATTATTATATTTTTATTTTTTAGGCATATTAGAAGGGATCTGTTTTAAAAATTATTATTATTAATTAAAGAAATAGAAATGTTAAAAATGTGCCATAATTAAGGTTATTTACATATTTTTACTTGAAAATAATGTCGTGGTGGTATTGTAATACATCTATCTGGAAGTTTTGAATATTTCTTACAAGTTCTTTACAATTTTTTTAATTAAACATGTGAGTATTATTGTATGATGTTTTGTAACATATTTTCTTTTTTCGTTCAACATCTCTTCCATTGTTCCACCCCAATTAGATTTAAATAAAATCCTTGGACAAACAAATTAATATAAGCAACCCAAATTGGTCTGTAGCAAAGTTTGTAGGAATTAATTATGTAATTTTAATGAATTAAAGTTTACGACAATAATAAACTATAAATTCATCGGCTATATACATTTTGTTAATTAATTAAGTTATATTTATTAATTTTTTTGCTTTAACGTCAACCACCTGTTTGAAGGTTATAATTGTCACTCAATGGGAGTTTTATGTAAAACGTCAAGTTTTATAAAAACTTTATTCAGCGAAATTACATTTTCTTAATTAACACATAAATTATTTTATTTTAACCGTATATTCAAATAATTTTTTCAAATAAAATTTAAAATTTCATATTTCCCGCTTTTTTTAACCTTCATTTCTGTGGCAAATGTCAATTATGTCAATTACCTGTTTAGAGGTTATATGAAATTGAATTTGATACAACTTTTATGGAAAACATCAATTTTATAAAAAACCTTAATTAAGAAACGTTTATTTTCTATAAAACTAATAAAAATATGCAGTTTTGATGATAAAATTTGAATTATAGTTATTATATTTTTATTTTTTAGGCATATTAGAAGGGATCTGTTTTAAAAATTATTATTATTAATTAAAGAAATAGAAATGTTAAAAATGTGCCATAATTAAGGTTATTTTCATATTTTTACTTGAAAATAATGTCGTGGTGGTATTGTAATACATCTATCTGGAAGTTCTGAATATTTTTTACAAGTTCTTTACAATTTTCTTTAGTTAAACATGTGAGTATTATTGTATGATGTAACATATTTTTTTTTTTCGTTCAACATCTCTTCCATTGTTCCACCCCAATTAAATTTAAATAAAATCCTTGGACAAACAAATTAATATAGGCAACCCAAATTGGTCTATAGCAAAGTTTGTAGGAATTAATTATGTAATTTTAATTAATTAAAGTTTACGACAATAACAAACTATAAATTCATCGGCTATATACATTTTGTTAATTAATTAAGTTATATTTATTAATTTTTTTGCTTTAACGTCAACCACCTGTTTGAAGGTTATAATTGTCACTCAATGGGAGTTTTATGTAAAACGTCAAGTTTTATAAAAACTTGATTCAGCGAAATTACATTTTCTTAATTAACACATAAATTAATTTATTTTAACCATATATTCAAATAATTTTTTCAAATAAAATTTAAAATTTCATATTTCCCGCTTTTTTTAACCTTCATTTCTGTGGCAAATGTCAATTATGTCAATTACCTGTTTTAGAGGTTATATGAAATTGAATTTGATACAATTTTTAGGGAAAACATCAATTTTATAAAAAACCTTAATTAAGAAACGTTTATTTTCTATAAAACTAATAAAAATATGCAGTTTTGATGATAAAATTTGAATTATAATTATTATATTTTTATTTTTTAGGCATATTAGAAGGGATCTGTTTTAAAAATTATTATTATTAATTAAAGTAATAGAAATGTTAAAAATGTGCCATAATTAAGGTTATTTTCATATTTTTACTTGAAAATAATGTCGTGGTGGTATTGTAATACATCTATCTGGAAGTTCTGAATATTTTTTACAAGTTCTTTACAATTTTCTTTAGTTAAACATGTGAGTATTATTGTATGATGTAACATATTTTTTTTTTTCGTTCAACATCTCTTCCATTGTTCCACCCCAATTAAATTTAAATAAAATCCTTGGACAAACAAATTAATATAGGCAACCCAAATTGGTCTATAGCAAAGTTTGTAGGAATTAATTATGTAATTTTAATTAATTAAAGTTTACGACAATAACAAACTATAAATTCATCGGCTATATACATTTTGTTAATTAATTAAGTTATATTTATTAATTTTTTTGCTTTAACGTCAACCACCTGTTTGAAGGTTATAATTGTCACTCAATGGGAGTTTTATGTAAAACGTCAAGTTTTATAAAAACTTGATTCAGCGAAATTACATTTTCTTAATTAACACATAAATTAATTTATTTTAACCATATATTCAAATAATTTTTTCAAATAAAATTTAAAATTTCATATTTCCCGCTTTTTTTAACCTTCATTTCTGTGGCAAATGTCAATTATGTCAATTACCTGTTTTAGAGGTTATATGAAATTGAATTTGATACAATTTTTAGGGAAAACATCAATTTTATAAAAAACCTTAATTAAGAAACGTTTATTTTCTATAAAACTAATAAAAATATGCAGTTTTGATGATAAAATTTGAATTATAATTATTATATTTTTATTTTTTAGGCATATTAGAAGGGATCTGTTTTAAAAATTATTATTATTAATTAAAGTAATAGAAATGTTAAAAATGTGCCATAATTAAGGTTATTTTCATATTTTTACTTGAAAATAATGTCGTGGTGGTATTGTAATACATCTATCTGGAAGTTCTGAATATTTTTTACAAGTTCTTTACAATTTTCTTTAGTTAAACATGTGAGTATTATTGTATGATGTAACATATTTTTTTTTTTCGTTCAACATCTCTTCCATTGTTCCACCCCAATTAAATTTAAATAAAATCCTTGGACAAACAAATTAATATAGGCAACCCAAATTGGTCTATAGCAAAGTTTGTAGGAATTAATTATGTAATTTTAATTAATTAAAGTTTACGACAATAACAAACTATAAATTCATCGGCTATATACATTTTGTTAATTAATTAAGTTATATTTATTAATTTTTTTGCTTTAACGTCAACCACCTGTTTGAAGGTTATAATTGTCACTCAATGGGAGTTTTATGTAAAACGTCAAGTTTTATAAAAACTGTAATTAAAAATCGTTTTTTCTCTTTAAAATCTCTAAAAATGTGCAGTTGCGATAATAAAATTGCAAAGCCTGAAATTCGAACTCTTCATTATGTGTTTAAAATTGCTGATAGAAGAAAAACCATGGAATTTTACAAAAATATTTTGGGTATGAAAGTTCTTAGACACGAAGAGTTTGCTGATGGATGCGAAGCATCATGTAACGGGTATTTTCACAATTCAATGCTTATAATTATCTTATTAATTTTTATTTTTAAGCCCTTATGCTAATCGTTGGAGTAAAACAATGGTTGGGTATGGTCCTGAAGATGATCATTTCGTATTTGAACTTACCTATAATTACCCAATACACCATTATGATAAAGGAAATGATTTTATTGGTGTTACAATCAAAAGTCAAGACATTTTAAAAAGAGCAGTTGAAAACTCTTGGCCCATTATAAATGGAAATGTTTTAGAAGCACCTGGAGGGTATAAATTCTTTATTGATGATGAGCCACAGTCTGATAACCCAATAGATAAAGTTACTTTCTCCTGTTCCAATTTAGAAGAAACCATTAATTATTGGAATTGCATTTTGGGAATGAAAGTTTATTCTAGAGATGATGAAAGTAAAACTGCTATTTTGGGATACAGTTTTAAGCAAACTAAACTTGAATTTATTCAAATTAGTAAATACCAATTTTAAATTCACCATTGTCTCATTATTATTGAATCTTTTTTTAGCTGAAAAAATAAATCGTGCTGAAGCGTTTGGAAGAATTGCGTTTTCTTGTCCAGATGAACAACAACTGGTAATTGAAGCTAAAGTAAAACAGATTGAAGGGAAAATTTTGGTACCCTTAACTTCTTTGGACACACCAGGAAAGGCAACTGTTCGAGTTATTATTTTGGCGGATCCTGATGGTCTTGAAATTTGCTTTGTAAATGATGCGCCATTTAGGAAATTATCACAGTACACTCCTGATGATGAAAAGATTTTAATTGTACAAATGCAAAAGGATGATGAAAGAATGTTGGAGGAAAAAAAGATCTAAAAATTGTTATAAAAATAATGTTTATTTCTAGTACTAAATAAAGGTTAAAGGGAATTCTATTAATTTAAGAATAGATCTGAATTGAATAAACTTTAAGGATTTATTGTAAATCCTTTCCAATTTTTGATTTCTTGAAATAGTTTTAGACCGGGACTTTGAGTTGCACTAACAGTTCTTCCACCAAGCAGTTTGTATTTTTGCGCTAATTCTCCTTTTTCAACACCACAACTAATAAGTTTTTTAGCTGCTTCTAATTGTTTTTCATTTGGCAATTTACCTGAAAAATACATCAAAAATTAATAAATGTGTTTGCACAGTTAACTTTAAATTTGTTTTGATAAAAATTGACTTTGTTTACTTGTATAAGTTCCAATGAATGCTAGTCCTAGTGATTTTGAGTTGTATCCATAAGTATGAGCTCCTATTCTGTGCCAGCCAGCACCTTCATATACATTTCCATCACCACCAATTAAAAAGCTAAAATAATAAAGTAAAATTAGTAAATTCTTTATTGTATGTTAATTTTCTTTATTGCTTTATGAAACTTTGAAAATTAAGACATAAGTTTGGGAAATTCGGCTTCTTCCTCAAAACTCCAGCTATGCCTGTTAATCTGAAATGGAAAGTGCGAGCCACGCTCCTGAAAAAAGTGCCAACAGGCTAAGGATTAACTAACGTGCCATGGAGAAGGCGATGGGCAGGACTCATGACGAGATAAGACAGCATGCAGATTGCGTTCATTTGGTATTCAGCCAAGAGTTAATATGCTATATGCAAAAAAACTGATGGACAATTTTTACTACTACCATGTTCCTGAAAAAAAAATGCCAACAGGCTAAGGATTAACTAAACTGCCATGAAGAAGGCAATACTGGGGATTAGTCTCAGAGACAGATTGCTGGTCTATAGTGGCGATGGGCAGGAGACATCGCAAGATAAGACAGCATCAAGTTATAACGCAGATTGCGTTCATTTGTTATTCAGATAAGAATTAATGTGTTATAGGCAAAAAAACTGATGGGCAATTTTCTTGTAGATTGAAGCTAGAATAAATTTCTCAAAACTAAAAGTCGCGTACAAAAACTATATGAGTTATCTGATAATGCAAAAAATTTTTTAAGCATATTTTCATTTAAGACACTATGTTTTGTTAAAATTTGAATTACTTGTAGCCAATATCTATGATACTATCATGTTCCTGAAAAAAAAGTGCCAACGGGCTAAGGATTAACTAAACTGCCATGAAGAAGGCAATACTGGGGATTAGTCTCAGAGACAGATTGCTGGTCTATAGTGGCGATGGGCAGGAGACATCGCAAGATAAGTTATGATGCAGATTGCGTTCATTTGGTATTCAGCCAAGAGTTAATGTGCTATATGCAAAAAAACTGATGGGCAATTTTGTTGTAGATTGAAGCTAGAATAAATTTCTCAAAACTAAAAGTCGCGTACAAAAACTACTTATATGAGTCATCTGAAAATGCAAAAAATTTTTTAAACGTATTTTCATTTAGGACATTATATTTAGTTAAAATTTGAATTACTTGTAGCCAATATCGTGCCAATTTAATTCATCCATGTGGTAATTTTGAATATTTGTAACAAGATCTGAACAAATTTCTTCCGTTGAACATGACGGTGTCACTGTGTGATGAATAATAACATATTTAACTGGGATTATTGTATGTTCGACTCCTTTAGCGGCTCTTCCACCCCAATCGGCTTTATACAAAATCCTTGGGCAATCTAATAAATGAATTCCCAATCAATTTAAATTTGTTATCTCTATTGAAACTTACCAGGTCTTGACTGATTTGACTCAAAAACTCCGCATAAAACCACCAAAATAATAACGCTTTGAAAATGCATTCTTCTTTAAATCAATGAACTTCACTTCAAGAACTTTTAACGAAGACTAAATAAGAAAAGATTAAGGAATTAACTTTATTTGTATGTTTAATAACTACAGCGGGATTTCCCAATTAAATAAAGACGTGCAAAAAACCCAAGGTTCTCTTTTTATTTTAGACTGTGACCTCGATATAAATTGTGATAACCCTTGCTCAAATTGCAATTAAAAACAGCAAAGTTCGTAAACAAGAAAATAAAATAAATCTTTATCAGCAGAATTTCAAAAAGAAAACAGAACGAATATTAAAAGTAAAACCGGTTGCCTACGTTGTTGCCAAGTAGTTGGCGTTGCCGATAACGTAAAATTCTCAAATTTTTCGTCGGCTATGTGATGATATATACGAATATCTACTGTATAAGTTAATTACATTAAGTGATAATCATTTCTGAGGGATTTAACAACCATGGAAGATCTAGGTAAGTTTTTATTAATCTTTAATGTACGTTTGTTTTGACTGAAAAAAAAACACCTGACTGTTGACATAACCTCAATTATTTCAATTTTAATCATACAACACAATATTTCATTTAATTAATTCCTAATTATTGATAATCTTTTTAATGGCCAAACAATAATAATTATAACATTTGTTGTCCGTTAATTAAAAAAATCAAATAAATCATACAAGCGATAATAATGTTTTTTGGGATTCTTTTTGTTTTTTCTCGAATTCTTGGGCGAGTCATCAAAAAAAAAATAATAAAAAAGTTACAATAAAATGGATTCTTTAGTGATGATGTCAGTTATATTTATATTGAAAGAGTTCGGCCTTGACCGGTGTCGTATCGCTGTTCAAGACAATGATATGTTCTGGTAATAAATGTGATTTGTCTGCTATAAATTAGTGTATGTTTTGAGCTTTTCAAGTTGTTGATAATGATAGACGTAAATAACGTAAATTTAGAATATAATTCAAACGCATCTGGATCTGGTTCTGATGTAAGAGGAAGAAATTATAGTCGTATGTGCAGAGGACGTAAACAAAGTTTAATTTGAAATTAACAGCATGATGAATGGTGTGCAGATGTTGAAAGGCTGCAATAATGTAATAAATTGTTTTTTAAAATTCTTTAAATATTGATTTTTTTTATTATCTCGAGAAATAATTATGTAGACAAAATTGTGAAATTGTTTGAAATAATCACAAACATGTTTATGAATAAAATCGTTGATAAAATAAAATAGATTAATTTGAAAAATATTGTAAAGGATAAGTAATTGAACAAAGTTTGCAACTGTCCTATTTCATCTTTTTATGAATGAGTAGAATCAATAAAAAATTAAATCTGAAACTGGTCATCATATTGTATGACTCGGCTATACTAACTATATGATAAAATTGTAGATTTTTGCCCAATTAAGTCTTGCTTGAGGCCGAGGCTCAGTGATTAAAACTATATCAAGCTAAAACTGGTCATTATATTGTGGCACATCGGCTATACAGGGTGGGTCAGAAAGAATGGGAAATCCAAATACCGGAGACACCAAAATATGACGATTTAATTCAACATCTCTTATACAGATGTTGGTGGTTTTTGAAATTTCTTGATAATTTCGAAGCTTTTTATACTATTAACATATAATTTGGTAGTTTATGTTTTCGACGATGAGAAATAAGAATTTGAAACGTGTTTTGTTCTTGCTCGTAGAGGGCGCTAAATACACACTGCTCGTTTGATAAATCAAGTCATGAGTATTTTGTCAGTTGAGGTATGGTGAATTAGAACCATAAATTTGAGCTTTCAATTTTACACAAAAAAGATAGTCTTGCTTAAATTGTCTAAGTCTGCTGATTTCCAAGTTATTATATGACCATATTGAAAAATCCAGTGGATTTAAATCTGGACTTTTCGATGATCGTGCATATTTACTTCCACGACCAATCCAACAATAAATAATTAGAGCACAGGAAGACTATAATGTGGTGGAGCACCGTCCTGCATAAACCACATGTCTTCTTTTAGAGCGTCTGGTAAGTCAGGTAAAAGCTCGTGCAGATGATTTTCAAGAAAACTTAAGTACACACGTCCACGATAAAATTGGATATTACACCACACCAAATATTTACTTTAAGCTCGTGTTGAAAATGTCTTTCCCTCACGTGTGTCTTTCCCTGTACTTCGAAAACCACCGACATTTGTATAAGAGATGTTGGATTAAATCGTCATTCTCACCCTGTATACGTACAGGGTGGGCAAATTTGGGTGTTATTATAGGCTATCTCAGAAACTATAAGAGATACGAAAAAAGTAGGTGCCATGTCCCGGTCTCTTTTTTCGATACTAACCCAATCCTGCAAACACCAAAACTCTATCTTCTTTTGTTTTTAAGTTATAGCCAAAAAGTCAAATTTTCGTGATTTCAAAAAATGCTCATATTTCTTTTATTTATCAAAATATAGGAATGGGGTTGNAAAAGATCTGAATGACCTTTCGCCGAGCAAGGTATTAATGTTCGTTAAGAGCATTGGACTGCACGGTGAAATTTGATAACGATATCTATCGGGGTACAATAGATCCTTAGGGTCGCGGTGCAAGGTTGGTTGGTCCGCCTACCCGATATGTATTCTATGTAATGTAATGTAATGTAAAACTCCAGCTATGCCTGTTAACCTGAAATGGAAAGTGCGAATCTTTTGTACTACAGGTAATAACATATGGCCTTGAAACCACTATGTTCCTGAAAAAAAGTGCCAACAGGCTAAGGATTAACTAAAGTGCCATGGAGAAGACACAAGATAAGACAGCATCAAGTTATGATGCAGATTGCGTTCATTTGGTATTCAGCCAAAAGTTAGTGTGTTATAGGCAAAAAAACTGATGGGCAATTTTCCTGTAAATTGAAGCTGGAATAAATTTCTCAAAACTAAAAGTCACGTACAAAAACTATATGAGTTATCTGAAAATGCAAAACATTTTTTAAGCATATTTTCATTTACGACATTATATTTTGTTAAAATTTGAATTACTTGCAGCCAATATCTATGATACTACCATGTTCCTGAAAAAAAGTGCCAACAGGCTAAGGATTAACTAAACTGCCATGAAGAAGGCAATACTGGGGATTAGTCCCAGAGACAGATTGCTGGTCTATAGTGGTGATGGGCAGGACACCTCGCAAGATAAGACAGCATCAAGTTATGATGCAGAATGCAGATTGCGTTCATTTGGTATTCAGCCAAGAGTTAATGTGTTATAGGCAAAAAAACTGATGGGCAATTTTGTTGTAGATTGAAGCTAGAATAAATTTCTCAAAACTAAAAAAACTATATGAGTTATCTGAAAATGCAAAATATTTTTTAAGCATATTTTCATTTAAGACACTACGTTTTGTTAAAATTTGAATTACTTGTAGNGTAATAAAAACTATAGCATTCCATTTAAAATAACGAAGTTGTGGTCTACTTCCGGTAGACCGGAAGGGGTGGCCATCTTGAAAATATTTTAGATGGAAAGTTTAGAATGAACAACCCATGCTACCAAAATTTCAAACCACTACGAATAGTGGAACCTTAAAAAGTTCTAACGAACCAGTTACGTGAGACACCCTGTATATAATTAAAATTTTGAATATTAATCTTTAATATTTAAGAATTAAAAAATAACGCTTATTTTCCCCAAATACACCATGCGTGCAATACATCATTGGAAAGCTACAAATATGCTCTTTTCAGTAACACCATAATCTACTATAGTTTGTATTTAAAAAAGCACAACTTTGTGTTGTATCTCAAAAATCATCAAATATTTTTAAAATTTTTCAACTTCTGTATATTCTACTTAAAAAAGTGTCTTAAGAACGTATCAACCCCATTTCTCTAATTTCAAAAATAAAGGAAATATGAGCATTTTTTAAAATCACGAAAATTTGACTTTTTGGCTATAACTTAAAAACAAAAGAAGATAGAGGTTTGGTGTTTGCGGGATTGGGTTAGTCTCGAAAAAAGAGACCGGGACATGGCACCTACTTTTTTCGTATCTCTTATAGTTTCTGAGATAGCCTATAATAACACCCAAATTTGCCCACCCTGTACATATGATAAAATTGTAATTTTTTCGTCTAATTAAGTCTTGGTCGCTTGAGACCTTTGATTATATATAATATGGATTGAGCTAACTGAATATATCTACTAACAAAAATGTGGCTCAAGGTGAATAGACGCAGATGGAAAGCGATAATGTGAAAGTGTAACAAAGATAGACATAAAACGGTACTAAACAGACGGGCGCATGCGCACAAAAGTGTCAAACCTCTTCCATTTGACGTTTATCGTTTTGTTGTGTCACAGCGTTATGTTTAAAAATGTATTGTTTCGTGTGCAAAGTTCGCGATAATACAGTTTCACATCACCTGTAAGTATTATAAATGTTACTTCTAATTGATAGTTTTTTATCTTATAAATTAACGCACGCCCATTATATGTTAGTACGCTTCTATGTCTATCTCGGTTCGATCACCTTGCGCAAGCTATCTCTCTCGTTGGCTCAATCCATATTATACAGCCTGATTCAGAGTAAGCGCCTTATTTTTTTTAACCACACTATGGGTACTACTTTCAAAATATTTGGCAGTAATATGTTTTAGGACATTCTTTACACGATGGTGATACCACATTTTCAATTGGACGAATTATTTCAAAATGGCGACTGTCAACTTATTTTTTAAATGGAATGCCAACATTTTTTTTTATTATTGAGATCCTAAAAACATTCTTTATACGATAGTATTTTGTTTTTTTTTTTTAATTCATTTCTTTCCCCATCAAAAAACATACATTTTAATCTAGTAGCGCATGAATGTTTTACACTCGATGTTATTTTTGTCCAAATATCGCTAGACACAAAAGAAACAATTAAGCTTTATTTTGTAATAAACATCTACTTATTTATTTATTTGGACAAAAATAACATCGAGAGTAAAACATTCATGCGCTACTAGATTAAAATGTTAGGTTGCTTTTTGATGGGGAAAGAAATGAATTTTTAAGAAATACAAAATACTATCGTATAAAGAATGTTTTTAGGATCTCGATAATAAAAAAAAATTTGGCATTCCATTAAAAAAAAAAATTGACAGTCGCCATTTTGAAACAATTCGTCCAATTGAAAATATGATACACCATCGTGTAGAGAATGTTCTAAAACATATTACTGCCAAATATTTTGAAAGTAGTACCCATAGTGTGGCTAAAAAAAAATAAGGCGCTTACTCTGAATCAGGCTGTATATAATCAAAGCTTGAGACCAAGACTCATTGATTAAAGTTATATCAAATAATATATAATAATAATGAAAGGTTTTTTAAAAAAAGACCACTTTTCCTCCGTAATTGTTATAAATTAATCAATCTGAGACGTTTCGGGAACACCTCCCATCTTCAGCCTACAAATAGTCACTCGTAATATTACCTTGTACAACTGTTCATCAAAACAGTTGTACAAGGTGACGCACATACATGTATGCAAAGTAATTTTAAAATATTGTTTTTTTAAATCATCATATCAAGATTAGAGATAATATTACGAGTGACTATTTGTAGACTGAAGATGGGAGGTGTTCCCGAAACGTCTCAGATTGATTAATTTATAACAATTACGGAGGAAAAGTGGTCTTTTTTTAAAAACCTTTCATATAACAACACCTCTAGTTCAATTTATCGTTTAATAATAATAATATAAATATTAATGATTCAGAGATAAAAATTGTTGAGTAAGCTACTCAATTTTGACCAAACTTTTGTGCATAAATTATAATTCAAAATAGTTTTATTACAAATTTTAATGAAACGTAAATAATTTTATATTTTTAACTTATCTTTATTTCCCTTATGATATCTTATCAAAAACAAATTTTATTTAAATGATTCGATTTTTTTCTTTTTTTGTCAGTTTTTGTGAATTACGTGACCGATTAGTGTTTTAATTAGCGTTATAATTAGCGTTAACCTTCATGTACCCTCATCGTATATCACGTTAACGTCAACAATAAAAAAAAATGTAACATTATCACGGAGAACTCAACTAATACCATATAGGGCACCATACCAGCCTTGACACACTGCCTCCTCTCGCGTTTGGACTCTTTTTTTCGACACAACGCCGGTCGCCAAAACGGCAAAATAGCTTATTTACAATTAAATGTTTCTACAACCGTTCAGTAACTCGTGTGTAATCGTCCAAAACGATACGTTTAAACATATAATTTGAGTAAATTTATGTTTTTTTTATAAATAATACGGTGTGTGTCGAGCGGTCCTGGTACCTATACACAACTACTATTAAATGGACTCTATAAATAATAATAGAACGAAAGTGACGTTTGCAGTTTTCATATTCCCAACGTAAATCGGCTGAACCAAGCCTTCCTCTCTGCATTTCACCGCAGCCGTTTTACTTTTATTTTATTACTATTGTCGGCTCCCGTCTAATTTGGGTTTTCTCGGATCTTCGCTTTCGCCTCAACTCGTTGACGACGTGTTTGTTCGTATTCCGTAGGCGTCACTACGTTTACCCTCTATCATTACGCCGTACTAGTTAAAATTAAAGTCGGTTAAATTTTGAAAAAACGTGACAATGTGCGCGAATTTACTATTACCGAGTAAAACGTGACTCTCTCGCTTGGTTTTGTGCGTTTATTAATATTTACAAACACGCGGTAACGATTTTTGGATTGGTTGGACCATTATCGACGTCATGGATCGTACTATGTACGGGAAAATCGTCCCGGGGACTTTACATCCTTATCAGTGTACATTAAAATGTGGGACTTTACCAGGATGTAAGTTAAAAACAAAATTTTTTTTCGTTCAGAAACGTTTATTTCGATCTGCGTGATAATATTAAAATTCGAACATCTAAGATACAGTGACCCTTGAAGTTGTTTTTATACACACTTCAACGGCTCATTTCGTTTCCGTATTCTATATTTAAAACTCATTGATATTTAAAAAAACTTTGACGCACAAAGATGATTTATGCCTAGTTCCATAATGAATTCGAAAAAAGGTCCACTTTAAAATTGACTTTTTGAAAGAATTTTATTTTTGACGATTTGATGTAATTTTCCATAGTTAGATCCAGTTAACAGTTAATGGTAATTGATGTCCTCACTTGTAGGTTGTGTGTCCAATTAAATTTAGACCGCTATACTTTATGTTGTCAACTTTAATATTACAACCAGAAATGAGGCGTTTACCGGTGTATAATTATAAATGTTTCTACAATACGATTATAATGGGTGTTGAATTGTAGGAATAAATATTATTTGAGAATTTTTTAATATTTAATTTAATTAATATATCCGAGGTTCTTTGCGATCAAGACCCACAATCAGTGATTAATGTTATATTAACTTGAACCTGGCGATGAAACTCGGCTTCAACTTGTAGTGTATGTAGTTTTATGTGGAGATGAATTCCTTCACAGCACTTAGGCCCCTTTCTACATCCCCACAATTTACAGTTCATTCAGGTGCAAGAAAAGGTTAAACCCAAACACTCATTTTAAACTGTAGTTATCTATTCGGCACATTTAGAGCTGTCTGTACTTTCTACTATACAAGTGTATACAAGAAATAATCTGTATAAAAAGCGTCGCAATCCGCACTGTAGGATTTTTAGGTACACTTTAAACTTATTCATCCAGATGTGAGGTTAGAAGTTTAGCGAAAAGCGGTACTGTTGAATTTTGTTGTTTAAGAAGGTATTTCTTTGATAAATGGTTATTAGGTGTGATTATTACAGATCATTTTAAAAAGAAAACATTGAGCTTAAATTTAAAATAAGTCTCATTCCTTAATTTCAATAAACATGGTTTCTAAGAATTTTTAAATTAGCATCTTTTTTGACTCTTTTAAATGTAAGTGTTGTTTCAACATTTTTTTTCTTAATATTTTTCCAATCCAACCCAACAATTATTATACATCA